TTCCTCGACTTTCATCCCCAAAGTTCAATCAATTCAGTTCCCCTCATTCTACAATCATGTCTGTCCCAGCTTTCACCGATATCGCCAAGGCGTCCAACGATGTAAGATATTTCTCAAGATGCGCATGTTTACAAAATATTTGAAGCTGACCTAAATATCAACCAGTTGCTCAACAAAGATTTCTACCACCTCACTGCTGCTGCACTTGAGGTTAAGTCGAATACTCCAAACAATGTCGCATTCAAAGTGACTGGAAAGAGCACCCACGACAATGCCACAAGTGGTCTGGTACGAATATATGGGAAATAATTCAATTTTTTGACAAACGCTGATGGACAGTTTCCTGTGTGCAGTTGGAGGCCAAGTTCACAGACAAGCCAACTGGTATATATTTTGAACAATTTATTTTACAATATTTCCCCATTCATAGTCCATATGGTTTCTTTCTCATTAGACAGCCCGGTTGTGCACAGTTACTAATCGCCTATGCCGGGGGAACAGGCTTGACTCTTACCCAAACATGGAACACTCTTAACGCTCTCGACACCAAGATTGAGATCAACGACACCATTGCCAAGGGTCTCAAGGCTGAGATTCTCGGTTCTTTCGCTCCTACCACCCAAAAGAAGGGCGCAAAGGTCAACCTTCACTTCAAGCAACCAAACTTCCACGGACGCGCATTCTTCGATCTCCTCAAGGGCCCAACTGCTACCGTTGACGCTGTTATCGGACAAGATGGTTTCTTGGCTGGTGCCACTGCTGGTTATGATGTCCAAAAGGCAGCTATTACCAGCTACTCCGCCGCTGTTGGATACACTGCCCCCACTTACAGTGCTGCCATCACTGCTGCTGACAACTTGAGCGTCTTCTCCGCTTCGTACTACCACAAGGTCAACACTCAAGTCGAGGCTGGTGCCAAGGCTACCTGGGACTCCAAGAACACCAACTCTGTTGGTCTCGAGGTTGCTAGCAAGTACAGACTTGACCCGCTCTCTTTCGCCAAGGTAAGCAATTTGTGCAGAAATATTTCAAACCCTTTGCTAATGCAAGGAAATTATAGGTCAAGATCAACGACCGTGGTGTTGCAGCTGTTGCCTACAACGTTGTTCTCCGACCTGGTGCTACCCTTGGTCTCGGTGCCTCCTTCGATACCCAAAAGCTCGACCAAGCTACCCACAAGATCGGCACAAGCTTTACATTCGAGTCATAGAGCAGGATTATTCGAGATTTGGAGTTGGCCGTACGATAGTAGAATAGAGGTGTAATTCTAATATCATTTTTTGTGGCACGCACAGTATAGCATTGCAACGGGTTGACTGTCTTTATTTTGATTGACCGATATGCGTGCATAAAGGATAGATAAATCTATAATCTATTTTTTTGGTCAATGTTATGTGACTATATCTTTTTTGGCCTTCCTGCACTCGTCATCCTCTCATAAATGTAAGACGGTACAGCGACGCTCATAGATATCACTGCGCTGAGGATGACGAAATTCGCGAAGGTGCTCCTTTCTTGGTCTGCTGGAATAAAATGTTCACTCATCCGGCGTCGCCTCCGTCTATCAACGTTATCATGTGTTTGTGTGTGTGCTCTTTTATCAAAGTGTGGAATATCTCCTTCCGGGCCCCATGGCATCTGACCCGTTCCCATCCCTCCACCCATTTCTGTCTTTGGTGGAGCCTCCGCACCTGGCGCACCGTTATCCTGCGCAGCTCGTCTTTTTGCACTGTGTTCTCCCCATCCTCCACTTCTATAGAAACTAGGCGGCGGCCCACGGAACTGGGTTCTTCGTCTACTCAACCCGCTAGCTGGTCTACCACCTGCTGGTCCGCTAGACGAATAGGAACCTTGTGGTGGACGATGACCCGTTCCATGACTATGACCGTGACCGTGAGCATGGGAATGTATGTGGTGTTCTCGATCGTAGGCCTGTCGCTTGGCTGGAGTACCGAGGATAGCCCATGCTTCGGAGATCTTCACGAAGCGTTTTGATGCAGAGGGGTCAGAGGGGTTGTGATCGGGATGATGGACTTTACTGAGAGCGTAGAAAGATCTTGAGGAGACTGAGTTAGTATACTGGCGTCAATTGAGAATGAGAATGCAGACGATCATACTTTTTGATTTCGGCCGGTGTAGCATCTGGAGCGACTTGCAAAGTCTCGTAGTGGTTTTGAGCGGGATTTCTGTAGATAGCAGTACTATGAAAAGAAAATCGCTGCGGTCGAATCCGTGGGACGACAAAAGGAGAGGGGCGAAAGAAGACTGGCATTCCTCATCGTTGAATTGGGGAATTATAGGGAAAAGAAATGATGAATTGAGGGAACTTTCATGAGAAGAGCTTTATTACATATGCTAGCAGTATTAAGCCTGGAATGCCAGTGACGGCATAGATTTCCAGCAATTGACAGGGGTCTGCACAAGCATTATTACCAACCGAGACACTTATCCCGATGTTAACCCATCACTACCTTGGCGGGGAAAGCAAGTGTTTGATTTCTCTTTCTATCAATTATTCTTTTGCTAACAGCTAGACTTTTGTTATTAATACAAAGGTCAATTACATACATTTGTAGCATTGGAAACAAGACTCGAGAGTCTTGTTGTAAGGTGATTCAAGATGGCAGCACAGGTTACTGATGCGTTGAAGAATTTGAAGGGTAAGTAAAAATTAACCCTTCCTTGGGGGGATTGCGCTATTTCTCTCTATTCTTGGGGAATATGACCTGACAAAGCTTACAGTGAAGGACCCTAATGCTGTAATGGAGTCTGCCACCGAAGCAAAGGCAAATGGAAACGCGCAACCCGAAGCCGAAGCCGAGGATTCAGATGACGATGAAGAGGAGCCAGTAAATGGCGAAGGTGCCGGGGAAGGAGGAGCAAAAAAGAAGAGGAAGAGGAAGAAGAAGCCTAAGAAGAAGGCTGGAGCGAACCCTAAGGTCCAATCGTCGCCTCCACGAGTTCTCTTGTCGAACCTGTTTCCAAGCGGCGAGTACCCTGTCGGAGAGGAGGTTGAATATAGGGACGAAAATAACTATCGAACTACCAGCGAAGAGAAGCGTTATTTGGATCGCATGAATAACGATTTCTTGCAGGAGTATCGACAGGGTGCCGAGATTCATAGACAGGTCAGACAATATGCTAAAGCCAACATTAAGCCCGGGCAGACCTTGACGGAAATCGCGGAAGGAATCGAGGATAGTGTGAGAGCTTTGACTGGTCACCCTGGATTGGAGGAGGGAGACAATATTAAGGGTGGTGTCGCTTTCCCAACTGGTGTCAATCTGGATCACATTGCTGCCCATTACAGTCCGAACGCTGGAAACAAGACCGTTTTGGCTTATGAGAATGTCATGAAGGTCGATTTTGGAGTTCACATCAACGGTAGAATTGTGGATAGTGCTTTTACTATTGCATTTGATCCCATGTACGATAATCTTCTCGAGGCGGTTAAGCAAGCTACAAATACTGGAATCAAGGAAGCCGGAATTGATGCGAGATTGGGGGAAATTGGCGAGCATATTCAGGAGACAATGGAGAGCTACGAGGTTGAGATTAAGGGTCAAACTTATCAAGTCAAGCCAATTAGGAACTTGAATGGGCATGATATTCTACAATGGAAGATCCACGGTGGAAAGAGTGTCCCGATTGTTAAGAGCAATGACCAGACAAAGATGGAAGAAGGAGAGGTTTTCGCTATCGAAACCTTCGGAAGTACTGGAAATGGTTATGTTCGAGATGATGTAAGTCCATGTATGAGAACTCCCTGGTTACAGATATTAACCAGTTATAGCTCGAATGTTCTCATTACGCTAAGGTTGCTGATGCCCCTAACGTTCCATTACGTATCGCATCGGCTGGCAAACTTCTTAATGTTATCAACAAGAACTTTGGCACCTTACCTTTCTGCAGAAGATATTTGGATCGTTTAGGCCAAGATAAATATCTACTCGGAGTAAGTTTGTATACACCAATACCTTTAGCACAACATCTAACAGAAGCAGTTAAATGCATTAGTCTCCCATGGTATCGTGCAAGATTACCCACCTCTTGTCGATAAAAAGGGATCTTACACCGCGCAATTTGAACATGTAAGCTCTTCCCACCCCTGTTAAAAAAAGCACTCGCTAACAAGAAACAGACAATCGTCCTCAGACCAAACTGTAAAGAGGTGATCAGTCGCGGTGATGATTATTAGTCGATTAGTCTATTAGAAAATATAACTTTACTTTTCGCATTGCATGCATGATGATGGGAAAATGGATTGGGCATAGATATATCCCTTTTGTGGCGTTGGGGATCTTTTGCAACATATTCTTTACATAAGAGATCTGAATCTCGAGAATATCAAAATGATATATGGTAAATGAGATGATACTATCAGGAGAGAATTTGTCTATGAGTGGAGAAATGCACTTTTTTGTGGTATCATGTGTATGGGATGAGGTTGTTTGGCGTGAGACTGTTCAGGTTTCGCTTGATATGATTCTTTTGATGGTCTGCTATGAGAATGCAGTTTTGATAATATTATGTGAAGACTTCTGTAATGGTTATGTGTGTCATTTTGTCTATATACAACAGCTCTTTTAATGAGCGAGAAGAGATCATATATCACTTTAACGTCATCGTATACGTTGAGATTATACAGTCTTCACCAAAGAGTGGAATTCGAAATAGTAATTGGTTTGATATTTATTAGTGATTATCATTACTTTTATGGTTTCTTATTCCTATCATAAGACCGTAGCATAGGGAAATAGATGAGGTTCGTGTCCGTCTTATTCCTACAGCGATGATTTGAAAAGAAATGCAGGAGGATGATGAATGTCAGTCGGTGAGGAGCTTCGCGGAAGCAATGCCGGCAGGCAAATAAATGTAGACGAAAGAGCAACGACAGATTGTATATCGCAAGTTGATACGATCACCAATGGCTAGCTCTTTGAGATTTCCATGTCCCACCACCCACGGTCAATCAATCCTGAGAGGCTAAAGCGGTGAGTTTAATTCTCCTTTCCACCTATCTTTGCCTTTTTTGTCGCTTTTCTTCTGCTGGTTGTGGATGTCGACTTCTGGACTTTACTTGAGCGTAGAGTTCGAGTTTTAGAAACTTCAAATGGTTTCGACTTGTTGGGCTTTAGCTCCGACTGCAGAATTTCTTCCTCTTTTGATGATACGTCCTGGATCTTATTCTGCTCCGGCGTCTCCTTTTTCCAATTCATCTCTTCTGTCAACATCCTTGCAAATTCTTGAACTTTTTCCGGCTTGAAATATGGACCCTTTGAAGGTACGTCCAGCGATACTGTGTAGGGGAACAAGTAAGTTTGTCTAGATGGTCGGTCCATTTCTACCACATCTACCACCAAATTTTCCATGCCTCTTATTTTTCTCAATGTAGAAAGGCCTCTTGCCGTCAATAAATCCAACTTAGGTTGTTTACTACCAGCCATCGTATCCTGTTCAACTCCTATCTTGGGAGTCTTCAACGATTCACACTCCCCAAGTAACTTGAATGCATCTACTCTCTGAAGTCCATTGAATCGGAAAAATATATGGCGGATACACAGTCGCTTTTCCTCGCCAATCATATATAGATAACAATACAAACTCCAAGTGCAAGCAAACGAGAACGTATTCTCACTGTAAAAAATCTGGTTTGATTCTTTGTAAAGCTGTTCGCATGTTCGCGCCAGTATTAGTATGTCTTCGGCATCTGGCCGGAACACTGCCCTGGGATCTCTTTGTTCTCGATACTCAGATTCTTTGAGGAGTTGATAAGCGTTGGGCCAAATTGTATTGTCGTCTGGCTTGAGATAGCTAGTGCTCGTTACTCTCGGCTTGTCAATTCGCTGTCCCAATTGAACATATCGATGGATCTTGTCTCGAATTTCGCGAGGTAGGGCGAGAAGGTGACACTTTGGGGATTTACTGCGGCGGATTGAAGGCATATCTGGTGGATGCTTGATGATAACGGTAACGTATCGAATAAAGTTTTCGTTGGTTTCAACTTGGTAGTTGAAAATGTAAGTACCGGCACTTCAATTCAAATTGTTGTAGTTCTTGATATTATCAAAAGGTAGAAAGAGAAGAATTTTAAATAAGATAGTCGAGTGCTTAGGGAATCTACTACGGCTTCCGGATCCTTGTAGGTATATGATACAAGTCTCGACGTTAAAATTGTAAGAGGTGGCAGTATAGTGTGAACGAAGCGGGGTGGTCACAGACGCGACGTTGCTCAAGGGAAACGCCAGGTCACGTTTTGTGCACGGCTTTTACCCAAGATTAATAATGAAATGATGACAAAGCTGACTTACCTCCAATATTCTACTCGAGTACATCAAGTGCAAAATAATATTGAATAGCATCATTCTCACATATCCTTGTTGTATTGATGTGTTTATTATTCTTAGAAACAAGTCAAATTGAAAAGATACTAATATCATGACTCGATACCAATACACCTGTCACCGCATGCTCAACACGGATAGTCTCTTTTTCTCTGTTCATGCTTCTATTTCTGATGATCCATTTGAAAACAATCATTCAGGCCGATGGCCAAGAAGATATGAACGATCGTCACATCGATTCATGGATGCTGCTGGCGACGAAAGATTCTACGGACAGAGCTCCGCTTACGCTTCTTTTGATTGCACAAAAGTACGGTTCCAAAAGAGAGCCAAGTCCAAAGATTTTGGCAATTTTTCCCTTATTGACATATTGATTGCGAGCGACCCAAAGGTGTCGTCCACGCTGCAGAGATTGACGGACCTTCCCAAAACGCTGCCCATGCCGCCGCCGTCGGAGCTTGAAAGCGATGGCAAGCCTATAGCTTTACCATCAAGAGCTCTTTTGGAAGTCACACTAGGGTTTTACATGAAAGAAATTAATGCTCCATCGCCCATCTTCGACAGGGGCACGTTATTGAAAGCCATAGATGAACAGTATAGCATAGGCTCTGAGAATGCAGACCCCACATGGATCCTTTGCTTCAATAACATAATTTTACTCTCTTCGTTAGCAAAATTGAAAAAATCTTCTCGGGGAACTCTCTCAAAAGATGAAGATCTCATGTTAATGCTCTTGAATAACGCCAAGAGGTCTTTCTTAATCTTGGACACACTTCTCAAGCCGAGAGTCCACAGTATCCAAGCTCTTTTTACACTGGTAAGTGATTTGATTATCCCGAAACATTCAAAGATATGTTACACGTTCGACCCTCAGTACTGGTGATAATGCTTGGTCTGGGCTTGGGCCTTGATCTCATTTGGAATTCCCACGCAGATGGGCAAGAGTGAATCTGACAATCCTCAGAGTTTTGTTACTAGAGAGTTCTATGATCACCAAGTAGCTGCGAACCACATAGCATTAGCTCACCAAATGGCGAGATCCATTGGCCTGCACCAACCCGACAAATTCGCAAGTCCAGAGCGAACTAATCTTTTCTGGTCGATGTATATCATAGACAAATTAAGATTATTCAGGTGCAGCCAAGGTTGTCAATCATACCTGTTTGAATGTAGTGTTCCCTTGCCGGAATTCGATCAGTCAAATCCATTGGAGGTAGCCTTCTTGGCCAAGATCAAAATGGCTTGCTTTCTCGAAGAAATCTACAGGGAACTTTATATGAATCATACTGAGATCCAGCCATGCTCTTCGAGGCAAGGTTCTGCTATGAGATTGTTAGTTCAATTGGATCAAGAGTGGCCAGAATTCTATGCACGAGCAGCCATATTGAAAGCAAGCTATTCCTCAGTCGAGCTTGAATTGATGCAAATGTTTCTTACAAACCGTGTCTTAATACTGCTTTGTAGTAATTTAATTGAACACAAGTCACGACTTCTTGAAGACTCCAGAACAATCTTAGAAATCATAGGAGAGCTTAAGACGCAACGATCAGTCCGTGGCAACATGGCTTTCTCAAATGTGCTTCATTTGGACCCACTCATAGCATTCTTCGAGCTGTTTTTAAACATTGTTGAAAGACCTCAGTTGAGTCACTCGAGAGATCAAGAACTTATAGCTATGACAATTGAAGCGATAAGTCGTCAACGTCATGCGAATTACATTACTTCGGCATGTGCGAGAGTGTATGAATCTGTAGCTGTCTGTGGCGGCATTGTGCTCGCGATCAAGCAAGCATTTCCGCCGTCGTCAATATCATGGGAATATCAAGTTGATTCACTGGCTTCATATCAAGAATCCGATTCACAATCCCAGCTCGCCTGGCCAGCAAAAAATGATTGGTCCGTTGATGACTTACTCAGTATTGATACGGAGACTCCAGATTCCTGTTACAATTCCTAGATATCATCATGTCAATGATGAACAAAATCAACTTTAAGCCGTTCAAACTGGAAAAAGTTCTGGGCAGACTGAGATTTAAACGAGAATCGACTTGTAGAAGCAAAAAAACAAAGCTTGTCGGCTTATGTAGTCACAGAATCTCTCGCATCATAACTGGTGATCAGTTTTTTTTCGAGAGAAATAGAATGGCAAAGAGATCATGCCATACCGAGAAAAGACCAAATTTACTTGGGGCCATGACTACAACTCAGGTGAGACTATTTTTGTTTTCAAAGTCAGAAAGACTGAACGGCTCATAACGACGGAGTTAGGCTGTACCTTATTCCTTCCTTGGATGACTATAGAACTTCATTTTTTAAGCTAGTGATCTCAATAGTGCAAGTCACCATCCGGAACTGGAAGCCTCGATCCAATGCTTGGAAAACCATGGATTTTTGAGAACTTGTACTTCGAGATTCCATTGATATGGTATTTTTTGTTCAACAATCACAAAATTTATAACAGTATCTTAACCCTTTATTTTGGATGTCGATTCATTATCATTTACTTAATTCATCTAGCGAAAAATATAAATATGTCTACTTCACCAGAATCTGCTCCATCTGAGTCTCTTTCAAACGAGAGTCCTTCACCCAAGTTTGTTTCACCAGGGTATCCTTCTTCTGAGTCTTCGGCATCCGAGACTGCTTCATCTAAGTTTACTTCACCCGAGCCTTCTTTACTGAAGTTTATTTCACCCGAATCTCCTTCACCCGAATCTCCTTCACCCGAGTCTCCTTCATCTGATTCTCCTTCATCCAGGCCTCGATCTGTACTATTCGTTGATCGCGGATTAAAAGTACAAGTCTGTCTCGGCGTTCTGGACGACAACGGGGACTACAATATTGGAAGAGGCTGCAGACCGCCAATCCTTTGCGATGGTCTTCTGGATATAGACTCTACTCAAGACTGGCGGCAGATGCTGCGCAATCTCCAGCAATTTATAGACTTCCAATTTGCGCTTCTTTTAGGAGCGAGTCCCGAGATTCTCGACGTGTTTGTTGTTTGGGATGGAGATGTCCCACCAGAATGCGAAGGCTGGTCGAAATGGTCGAAATGGTTGAGATGCAAGAGGTGGAATGATATTGGGGTAAAAACGATGAAGTTGTACAAAAGAGAGAAAGGTCCACGGTATAGGGTAAACTTCGAATTTCTCCTCGAATTGCTGGCTGAGAGGGATTATCGCGACGTGATACATTGCTCTCTTAATAGCCATTTATCACGAGAAATAATTCAATGACCAGCATGCATCACAGTGGACAGGCCAATGTCGAGACTCTCCGAGAGTGGTAGTGCACATATCATTCTCAACCAAGTGATCAGGAAGGTAGCCGGATGTTCTTACTGTCCAGCCACTGTTCATCATGTTCGACTCGGAAATGTTTCTTTTGAAAAAAATCCCCCTTGACTAAAACCCCGCTTGAAACATTAGATGAAGTTTCCTAGTTTTAGAATATTCAGCAGTAGGATCGGGTACGTTTTGTTCGGAGCCAAGAAAACTCAATCTGATTGTATTAGTGAATATTTGTGGCTGTACAACTATCAAGTCTAGCGTCTTGAATACTTTTCCCGCGTTATATCAAACTCCGTTTTTCTAATTCATAATCATACACTCATCATCGAAGACAATACAACTCTTTTGCAGCGATATTGACAGTCTCTTCAGAGTCCACAACAGTGAGTTATAGCTCTCTTAAACCATAACTACTTCACACAACTGATAAATTCTTTCCAGAAATGTCTGATCAATTCTCATCAAGCGCTCAACCCTCAACAACCCCTGGTCTCCAAATCCGAGCTATGAATATCTCAGATGGCTCACCCCCTTTCCTTTGTAATACGACTCTCCAAATCATTCCACCATCAGACTTCTCAACAATCTCGGCTGCACTCATCCAAGCTATCAATCTTCAAGCTTCATCTAAGAACTTCTCATGCGCAGAAGGAGATCTATCCGTCTTCATTCACTGGACGGAAGAAACCCCCGATAAATACGCATACCAAACGGCATCGCGATGCTGGAACAATATCTCATTGGACTTGATGCTGCTCTCTGAGAAAAAATTCTCGGTTGAGAGTCCAGAGGAATTGAAAGATCTGTGGAGATTTCTGGCGAAGAGAAAGTATCGAGATGAGATCTTTTGTGTTTTCGAGGCTTCATCTATCCCGTCATCTATCTGATCGCATTTCTGAGTCAGAGAAGAATATCGAAGGGAGTTAGATCACTCTGAGAGATGAAGCGGAAAGGCGACGGGATGCGGTCATGTCTGGGAAGAACTCTTGATTTGATTTGATGGTTACTAGTTTAGACAGGACGTTGCATCATTTCTGAAAGTGTGGTTAAAAGCGAAGCTTAGCGTTACTTATTATGTGTTCACGTACTAAATACCGAAAAGATCAAGCGTTTAACTTCTACTTTTTCATGTTTTAAATATGTGTGCCTTTTTCAATTCATTCATGGAATTCATCTGTGAAGTAATCTCTACCTTTGACAATTCAAGCAAAATCCTCAACGTGAATGCTTCAGAATCCCTTCTCATACCACTTCTGACAACGTATTGTCTCTGACTATCCCATTCAAAATCCGCACTTAAGTAAGACCGTGACGTAACCAACAACACCAATCCCTAGATACCAATATTAGAATAATGACCAAGTCTGCAAACGAGTTATCTTCTACGTCTAATAGCATATATTCTCACGACATTTCATCTCTTCATCTCATCCCTCTGTCCAAATGAAAGCGAGCCCTGGCCCGACCCCTAATCCACATTCAGCAACCCTCGCAGAATATTCCCAATCTAAGGTTCGAGGGTCTCTTTGGGAGACCCTCTTACATACCAGGTGTAGATACAAGCGATTGGGGTGAATTAATTACTTATTGATTAGTTGTATAATTGATGCTTTTTTTCTGAGGGCTGGGATTAGATTTAGTGTTGACTTGTTTAAAGTGCTTATACCCGGTATACTAAAGTGTTTCTCAAGGACACTGGTCCACTAGATTGGAAGATTCCTCACAAACTTCAGGAATATCTGCCGCCGTATTGCTAAGATGAGTATTGCTTGATGAATCTGTAAATATCATATCAAAATGGGAGAAGTAGCAGAAGTAGAGAAGAACTATTCGAAGAGATTGAACTTGTGTATTTGGATTTTGTATCTCATGTCATATTTCTAGCCGGGTTTTCTGCTAGCTGTATGTCATTTCGCATCCCCATATATTCACTTCCAAACATGTCCTCGGCCTCCTCAGCCGGCCCACGAGATGCCGGTCTCGGAAATTCAACACCAGTAGCTAGTTCTAAAAGCAACAGTACCTAGTCCAAGTCCCAGCCCCAGGTGCCCTCCAATGAACCAGTCATCGATCCAAACATCGTAACATGGAGTTCACCCAACGACCCCGAAAACAGATGAGACTAGTGGAGGACTCGAAAATTATACCTGTCTATGCTATTTTCATTGCCAGATGTAACAGTGTCATTGAATAGCGGTATCTTCGATAGCGCAGATACTGTTGTGGGTATATTTGTTGTCTCCTTTAAAGTAAGAAGTTTGGGAGCAGGTTCATTTGTTCTTGTGGGTTAATCTCACCCACCTCGGAGTTATTACAGTGATAAATATGCAGAAGTAACTAGCGTTGAAAAATTCAGGGCTACTGTTTCAGACCCAACTTCTCTGAACCTCTCTCGGAGAAATTTGGTCGTAAAATGCCCCTCGTGTTGGAGACTTCGGATTTTGCGTGTATACTAGTTGCGGTAACTTAAACCATGGCGACATTTTTGGTGTGTCGATTCCTGTCTGGCAGATTTGGGGCGGCGCCACAGTATCGCTGAAGGCACATTGGTAGATATATGGAACCCAATTCACCGGGCGTTGTCATAGTATTGAGGGCAATTTGACCAACTGTATTATATCGTGCAGTAAGAGGGAGGGCGAGGTTTTAAGTATATAGCAAAAACAGGTTTTCAGCCAGCAACTGGAATACTCGAGATAGGCTTGGTTCTGCCAAGACCTTCCTTTCCATAGTAATCCATAGGATAGACATCATTGTTGCTCTTTGCCCAATCTTCCTTTTGGCCCAATACGATCAATGCTTCGTATGGCGTGAGCAGAGGCCTGGGGAAAGCATATCCCCAATCAATACTGAGTCTTGGACATGCTACCTGCACCCAACACTCGACATCGCTCATCATAGCTAGCTTTCCAGGGAAAATTTCGCTCAAAAGCAAGTTGATGAATGGAATTCCTCGCTCTTCCAATTTTCTCTCAATCATTGTCATGGTGTGTGGATTTCCTTGACGACCGAGAGATCCTAAGATAAGTCCCCACTTCTTTGCGGGTTTCGCGGTTTCAATCGCATCTCTCCTTAGGGTATGCATTTCCTTGTGATCATAACTTTCGCGAGTGAGTTTTCGTGAATAGGGATCGTATCGGTAAGCTGGTATCGACGGGTTGTGGATCATAGCACTCTCAAGATGGAAACGTCCATCACCAAGATAAAGAATAATATCGACACCATCGGTTGAAAGTTGAGGAGATGTGCATCCAAGGATTTCGCCTTTGCTGAGAGGGGAAATCTGAGGAATGAGAACATTATACCCCGCTTTCTCGAGCGGCGCTCGAACACCATGCAATGTCGCATTGAATTGAATGGTTCCTACCATGGCAATGGTCTTTCCTGAAGCAAAATTCTTCTCTAGAGTTGCAAGTAGATGTGCCGTATCTATGCTGATATCGACGAAAACATAGAGAGTTTTGATCTTTGTAACATCCACGGGGATCAAACATGAATGCGCATAATGAACCAACAAATCGCAGCCTAAAGCTCGAGCGGTATAATCATCAATACAACAGGCTCCATATGTAACATCTCCCATTATCAGCGTCTCGATTCCAGGACAGAATTGAGTGAGAATATCTGATATTGTGGTTGCAAATAAGAGCAGACCTTCAGGCATCTGCAGAGCAACTTTCTTTGATCCATTCATTCTTATTCTATGTATAGTTTTGTATATTTCGAAGGAATAATTTGGTGGAAGGAGGGCGATCGCAGCATTGATATCGGGATCATTCAGAATTTCGGGGGGCACTTGATTTAATGTTCGAATTCTTCTAGGAGTCGCAACTATGATAACATTAGTTAAGGAAGTAAGTCTAAGAATGTGAGCTTACAGACCTTGAATAGCATCACTGTCCCCGGAAGTCGTATTATTGCCATTCCGTGCAGCAGCTTCTGCAGCTTGCTTTCTTCCTACGAACCGTTTCTTTGGTTGACGTTGCGCCACTGGCTCTTCGAGAGTATTTTCCACATCAACAGCTACCCCCAAATCGACTTGTGCGCGGTCATCCTCCATATCGTTATCTATGAAGGGGGGGTGTAGTAGTTCTCAATCTGAAGAATATGATCTGATTGCGGGTTGGGAAGTTTTTATCAAAAATTCACGATCCAAAGTTCAAAGGGCACGGGCTTATATAAAATGGCGGGGCATAGGTATGGATACAAAAACGATGTAGGGGGTTTTCAGTATTGAATATTGGTGATGGTACTCAGAAATATACCTAGATAGGTAATAATAAGTATGATATACAAAATAGCTATCTATCGGATATACAATTATATGTTTTGAGTAAAATTGTTGAATGTTCAAATTATACCAACATGTGTTTGGGTCCAAAACTACCCCGCCGCACAGAATCATTCATAGATAGATTTTGGCGGTGACGACGAATCAAAACCATGGTATTTGAAGAGATCATCTTGACTAATCACGCCTATAGTTATTGGAAGAGATCGTGGTGTTTGCACCTCATGTCCTCTCTATTGAACGGTCAAAGTACATAAAGTATGTCAGATAATCATTCATTCTATTTAATACCAATGTTTCTCCGTTTTCAGCCACTGGAGAGTGGAACAATGATGCATAGCGTTGATCCTCTATCTTGTTTCGAAATCCACCATCGTTCTCGAATGCCGAAGACAAAGATACCGAATCTGTTTGCTCCTGATATTCGAATTCGAATCTACCTCGGTGAAAGTATCTTTGCCATTTCTCATCTAATGTACCGGAACCCAGGTCAACCCATCTAGTAATGTAAAGTGCCATTCCTGACTCTTTCATGGGCAAGGGTTTCATAGTCAATTCGCATTGTGTAGAGCAACGACGGCACTTCAATAAATCCAAAGTAACCTCTGGGGAATCCCAATCGCACGAAAGACACTGCGAATCTTCATCGTCGTCGTCACACGAGAGACCATAGGACCTTGTATACACAAGCCCATTCTTATGGCATCCTACCCTAGTGTGAGCACATTGTTCCATAGTCAAAGCGAATGGCATTCGGTCATTTATGGGTGTGATCCAGACCATCTGTGTACGATGAATGAGGGATCCACGGAGAATCCGACAATCCGTCTGGGATTCTTTGATCCAAGCATGCCAATCACCCTTAGCTGTACACTCTCCGGAAAGTGCATTCAAAAATTCCCTACGATCTGGATAGTGGAGCGAATGCTTCATAGCCATATTAAAAATCCTTGGACTGAAGTCTTCATCTAGTAACTCCTTGTAGTCCCAGTCAAGACGGGTATCTAGTCGGCACTTCAGGGCTTTGTGCCTCTTTTGAGATTCTCCACATCCGTTTCTTCCATCTCGGTAATATCTCAATGCGGTCTCAGTGTTGTGGAGCCGATTGCAAGAGTGGCACACACTTTGCTCAGGTAAGTCTTTCTCAATAGACCAGAGAAGGACGTATGTCTCATAACGGTCCCTCGACAGTGCCTCAAAAGGGCCATTCCCTACTGCCGCGAGAAATCCTTTACATGTGAGTGCTAGCGATGAAGCTGATGATGGGGGTAGATGTCCTAGTATGACATCAAATGTTTCCTTGGGTAGGTTTGCTAAATGACATGGTTGAGGACCAATTGGTGATGTGATACGTATCAGGGTAGATCTGCTCATGAATGTTCGAAGAAATGTCGAGTTAGGCACACGATGCGGTTCAGAAATCTGTATCAGAAGAGGTCCTAGTCTCAGTGGATGAAGTGGGTTTGAAATGGATAAATTGCTTAGGTTAGACAAATCTTCTTGTTCGTCCCGCTGATAACGTTCCAGAAATCCATCTTCGAGGGGGTCCATCGTGTGTTGATTTTGTATCAAGATTCTCGATTTGGTGGGATATGGTTCGATATATATACCCCACAGCCGTATATCACATTCGTTAAAACCCACTAACGTGAACCAGTGCCAATCTAGTCGGAGCTAGGTACGTAATAACTTTCTCATGATCTATCGGGTGATAAAGCTAGCCAAGTCCTAATTTACCTTCGCCAGAAAATTACCAGTCTCGTTGGACATCTGATTGAGCAATGAGGTATGCAGTGCAGTTACTCCGCATCTCCCTTTCCCATCTTTCAAACAGTCTTTACGCCATTCAAGTTGGCAGTACATATGGTTTCCCCTGACTGATTCGAATCAAGACTACCCCTCATCCAAGAAAGTAAACGTACTATAACCAGAGCTACTGGTAGTCAAGAAAAGTACTACAAATATTAGCTCTATCTAAAGAACTCTTGAGGATTAAATTCCCGGCTTTCGTAAACTTGTTCCAGTAGGTTCAACACGATATCCGTTCCTCAGGACGTTTCAACTCATTCCGAAATCGTTAAGTTTAGCTGGTCTTCCATTCAACTTCGTAAAGTCGATCCAAAATTCAACTTCCACTTATTGGCTTCACTCATATCATTCTCGTTGGTACTAGTCTGGTGGGGGAAATACTTCCATACTGCTAGATGAGAACAAGTACTGGTAAGCTTTCAGCAAGCAATTGAGAGATAGTTAAAAGATTTGTCTCAACCCTTAGATGCTTCTAGTAGCCCAATTACATAGCAAATCCGTACAGACAACCTAGATTCCCAGACACACAACGCATTCTCCGACATCACGTCACGAGTATGGCATTGAAAACGAAGGTTGGGTATAAAGAAGTATGATACCAGTTGGATATGAACATCGAAATTAACATCCATCCATGGAATTGATGTATGATAAACGGGTTTCAATTCTAAGTAAAGCGAAGATGTCGATGTAAACATATATACCCCACAGAGCCCCCTCATTTGCGGGGTTGGGTCAGATCATCTGCACGGAATTCCCCGTGAAGTCTTTTGAATAACTTCATCTCATACAGGCTCATTATGTACACTTCGAATATGACAGGTTACCACCTCTATACATACCCAAATGGCTTGAAATCCCGTTTTTGCGTATGTACTGCACTCATGGTTAACAAATGATGGCATTGTTTTGTAGCAGCTACAGCACGTGTCAACTGCTATCAGTCAAAACACGTTTTCACACCAAAACTTATCATTTATATTTATGAATTTCTTGATAATTATTAATAAAATCTAAGTATTTTCTTATATATATTGATTTAATTTTATAAAATATTAAATAAAAATAATATTGATTTTTTTTAATATTTTATTGATCGAATTATAAAGATTCAAAGTTGTATTATTTTAAAAATAATGAGATTTACTAGTAAAATAAGCGAAAATCAAGCAACTTTTTGAAGATTTTAATTCAATCATATAAATTTTCATAATATAAATTTCTAAGGATTTTAAAATTTTGAAAATATCAAATTGTATTATAAGAATTTTATAAAAATAAAATTTGAAAGAATTTTATTTATATATTATAAAGATTTTAGTAACATGTTTTATTAATAAGTAAATTATATTAGTAAGTGGGTTACTTTCATTTCAATTCACTTATTTAAAACCATATTATTCAATAATAATAAAATCAATTAATTGAAATTATAAAGATTCTAATAATCTAGAATTTATTATATTATTTTGATAAATTCTTATATTATAATCTATCTTTTCATATTTATTATAATATTAATTAGAAAATACTTTCCTATTAGAATTCCTCTCTTTTTAATATTTATTATATTAAATTTAAATATCAACCTTTTATTAAAATAATATATCAAAAACCTTTTATTCGTGTTACAACGGATTAGTAACAGGCTGTAGAATCACTGACTTATAGGCTATAATGGTATTATAGGCCTCAGTGATTCAGCTGCAGTATACCGGGGGACACTAGGCACCCAAGGAAAGCCTCAGGCATGTATATAGTATTAGTTATAGAATACACTGAATCATAGGACATGGTTCCTAGGACAGTAGGGTCCTAAGAAGAATAAGCAATACAGGACACAGTAAGCAAGAGAGGTCTTGCTAGGATTAGTAAGCTCCCAAGGGATTAGCCCTAGGACAGGAAATAAGACAGGACGACAAGACTCACGGGACTAGTATCACGTGATGGACCATCCCATCAGTCCCACCGATTATTATCAATGGGATCAGTGGGATCCCACTACGCCCACTACTCTCAGTGAGTGGGATCGATGGGATCGCAGAGTGCAAAGGTCTATATAAGGGAAAGGGTTTCTTTACATGTAGAGCTTCGTGCTCAAGAACAATCATTAGTTTCATTACTATAGTTACGAGAATTGCAACCAGTTACAACCTTATTGAATTCCTACTTGAAGTCTAGTCTAAACCACCTCGAGAGATCTCTAGACACTTCCACGTGACCCTAGAGGCAGCTCCCGTAACAATTCGGTAAATATTCCTTCTTAATATAATTGAGTTTTTTTGTATATTGATATTTGCTTAATGCTTTATTTGCTATCCGAAATATATAAATCTTTATATTTAAAAGTGTATTTTTATAAGCTAATCTTTTTATATTTTTAGCTAAAATTAATATAATCTTAAATATAAATGTAAAAGAGTTTATTTAATAACAAGTTATTCGAGATTTAATTAATATTGATTGAGAAAGAGTTTTAATTAGGTTATAAGGGGTTTAAGAGATTTATTAATTTAGATTGAAAGAGGGGAGGGTAGATATACAAATTTGAATATTTAATTTTGAGAATACAATTTTAGAATTAAATAGGATTAAATCTGTTTCTTAAAATTCTAATTTTATATTCTGAAAAATAATTAATTTCTTGTATACAATTTTAAAAGTTATAAAGAATTCAACCTTTGAAATATAATTGATATATACTTTAATAAATCTATCAATTTGACCACTATATAAACATTTTAGATTACTAAAACAATCAATATTAAATAGTTAAATTAAATAACTTGAATATAATAGTAAATATAAATATATAATATTATTCTTTTTACAGTATACTTGAAAAGCTATTGATTTGTAATTTTTATATCTATTCAATATTAACATTTGATATTTACTCTTTCTTCGATTCTTAATATGCTTATTAAAGTGTTTCAATTATTCTAAGTCTGTTTCATTATTCGTTTATTTATTAAATATAGATTTAATAACCTATTCTACAAAAAGATTCGTTTCGATATACTAATTAAAGAAATGAATTTATCCTTGAACTACTAAAAATGAGGGAATAATTCTACCCTTTTCATTTCTATATATTATTACTATAGCCCATTCTTGATTGCCTGGTTGTACTACCTTGCTTCTATTATTTCGTTTAGTATTAGTTACTACTATTACTATACATATAATCCCCATCATAAAGCCTATTTTATCGAAATTATAAAAATCTCCATTCAAAATGCTATATTTCGCTCACATTGTTACGGGAGCTGCCTCTAGGGTCACGTGGAAGTGTCTAGAGATCTCTCGAGGTGGTTTAGACTAGACTTCAAGTAGGAATTCAATAAGGTTGGTAACTGGTTGCAATTCTCGTAACTATAGTAATGAAACTAATGATTGTTCTTGAGCACGAAGCTCTACATTGTAATGAAACCCATTCCCTTATATAGACCTTCTTGCTCAGTGTGATCAGTACGGCTCAGTACTGGTTTGTTTGTACTTTCATGGCTCAGTGTCTATCCCGCTGAGGCAGACTGAGCCAACCACGTGACTTAGTGCCCCAGTCCCGTGCCTATGTTGCGTCGTTCGTAACAGATGTATTCGGTGTTAAACCATGTTATATATTTATAATCAATTGAAATCACTCTTTAATAAACTTAAAATCTTCACAAAAAACTCTTTGAAAATTATAAATACAATTAAAATATGTTTTTAATTCAATTCAACACTTTATAAATCAATACGTTCAAAGCTTCCTAATACACTTTGCACCCTTTAATTCAAGAATATAATTTATTATATCTTCCATATTTCTTAATTTGAATAGAAATTCTCTTATATCTATATCAATTATATATTCAGAAATAATATTCTCCTCTAATTCTAAAAGATTATTAAATTTAAATCGATATTTGAAATAAGGAATAGAACTATTAATTCTATACTATAATATTATATTCAGGATATTATACATCTTCATAATTTTTCGAATATTTTTTTTTTTGTCTTTTTAAATAGCTTCAATAATAAGGAGTATACAGACTTCTTGAGTATTCGAATTTATTATGAATTGTTGATAAAACATATATTAAAAGAAAAAAGAATGAATTAAAATGAAAGTAACCCACTCACTAATATGATCCACTCACTGATAAAACATGTTATTTGAAAATATAATAAAATGTTGATTTTTGGTGTGAAAATGAGTTTGGGCTGATAGTAGTTGATTAGTATTGTATATCAAGATCTATGCACATTCGAATGAACACTCATAAACAAGAGTATCCTTCGGCTCACCCAGCAGACGACCATCAAAACAAAACAGCACAAAATAGAGATAATAGCCTTCGTATCAATATGAATGCTTTGGCAGCAGGACCATCATAGTAATTCAACAACCTTGTTGTCTGACGCTACCATGCTGACCAGAATTCTGGCTGGGGTTGCGAAAATATCTATTTACTCAAAAGCCCTTACGTTGTGGTCTTTAACTTCAACCATTGTTGCCCTGAAGTAATATCATATATGAATCAAGTTGGCTCTATCATATAATCCTGTCCTCAAGGTTTCCACGAGATATGATCCAAGTGGTTTCATTCTGGTTCAATCACTAAAGTAATAGTATGGTAATATACCTTGACTCCTTGATGATTTGGCATTCGTCAATTTTTTACTTGTTTAATCGATTGATGCACGCGACAATTCTTCATACTGAATTTCCTCTTTGATTTGAAGATAACATGAACTAGTATCAATCACGAGATCATCTTTGGATTTCAAGAAGTGGAGAAAACACGACGCAGGGGGTGAAATAACCCGTGCAAGTGCAATGGTGGAAGTTCTGATTAGAGTTGGTAGCATGTGCATACAAGTATGGACATCACCCATTTCTTAAACTTGCTAGGGTCCGGGGAGATCTGCCATTAGACTAGTGTATTGTCAATCGCCCAATCATTCACGCTGCAGTCAAATATCGATGACAGTACTTATTCTTACGATTAGTTCTGTTGCATATCTGCAAATCACTTTTTTAGGCTTGACCCTCGGCTTTATCTAAGCTTAGTTGACTGCATAGAACTCCCGGAGTTAACGGAATTGATGACCATGTACCCAATGAAGCTTCCTACTTTTAGGACCATACATTGATTGTTTAGTTGCTTCATCTGTGTGTCCATTGATTGCTTTCATGTGCTCTTCATTTCATGGCGATCATATGGAACATTTGGATTGTTTTATTCGTAAAACAATCTCTTATCTCATTTGTTGGATCTGGATCTCTGCCACCCGACAAGCAACCATGTTTCCCCCCCTATAATGCAATCTGATATCCTTGGCCGATCTAGTTCATTTACTAGGTAGGTCAGCTAAATTACTATGACAATTTTCATTCATTTTCCGATAAAAAGTAAAACAAACATGTGAATCTTTTGAATTGCAAGATTTAAGTCCTACCTGCCGGCTTTTGGAAAAACTCTGCCACCCACCGATAGTTGGCCATATTATGAATGGTCGACAAGTAATCAAATCGTCCGAAAACCGGAGTCTTCGGATACATCTCAAAAGCCATTTCCCAAACCATTTTGTCAATACATCTTGGTTTGAAGAGTGATACGATCATTTTTCTTAGTGTTAAATAAGATATAAGAGTGAGGGACATTGGTGTTGATGTAATAGTAAGGAAAGATGTATTTTGTAAATAAGGTTCAAAAATTGATGTCAATTTGATAAGAAAGGGGAAGGTTCTAAGCGATAAGCGAGAATCTTCGAAAGAAGGAGAGAAATGATATTGTAGGTATGTAGGGAGGCTTGCATTGTTATGACTATCGTATTAAGACTATGTAATCAAGAGAAAACATATCTCTTGATGATTAATGTTAGCTAGTGTACATGTGGGATAGTTGACCCATTCAACGAATGATAATAGATAATTGTAATTGATAAGTTATGTCCTCAGTCTACATCAGGATGATACAAATAGTGACATAGATATCTAAATCAATTTTTGGGGGAAAGTCCAAATGAAGATGAAAGTCCAAGTTCGGAGTCAACATCTTCTATATGAATTCATACTTTGATTGTCTCTCACATTGAGTGAAATATTGACTGTGACTATCTCACCCCTTCATTACTAATTCATCGTCAAACTTTTCGATCTCGGTATACAGCTACCTTGTGTTACACCGACACCAATTCAAGATGTATAAATGCTCCTTATTAATGTGACGTAAGAGCCCTGACCCTGAAGCTTAACTGGGGTGAAAGACTTCAGACTCCAGAAGCAGTCTAGTATTACTTCCTGAATAGATTTAGTAGTATTAATCAGCCACTAGGTAACGTTTTTCACTCTAGACCAAATACCTACTTAGCATCCCCTAGCTTTTTTTCGTTTCCTATAAGAATTCCTCAGTACCCCAGCAATTTTCTTTTTCTGCCATGAGAAAAAATTTACCATTCGATCAATCAACACTCCAGATTTATTACCTACCATCATCCAACATATAAGATATTCGTATATCAAAAATTTGAATATCCACATTATACCATCATTTGACGAAATAAGAAATCTAAAAAGCGTATCTTTGGACCGTATCTATTGAGAAGTTCATTCAATAGTTATTCGACATTCGTTCTTAGAACATCTTTCGAAGATCAAAACAATTACTACATCAAAATACCAATTCATCATTCGGTCTATCGGCATCAATACGTCCAGATTGGTTTCGAGCTTTACTGTTACCAACAGCCAATATATCTCTATCCGTCAGCAATCATTATAATTAATCGCTTATCGAAATGTCGATGGCTATTGAAGATACCACAGCAAACGAGCAGCATTCCCACGGCTTCAATCGAGCAATTCACTCCGGATCACCACCATCATATGAAGAAAAAATGTACCTACCTAGTTATGAGAAAGCTATAAGCGACCTTGTTCCCGGTTTTCCAGCTTATGTTTTCCAACTCGAGGCAGTCATCAAGTTCATGTGTTCGCTGGGGGACTATCTAGTTGAGCAAGCCCTCCGATTGGAAGAAGATGTCTTGGATTTGGATAAAGAAGTAGAGCAGAATTTGATTCACGGTTGTGCTATTCATCCAAAAACGCGTGAAATATTTACAATCTACATCCAGTCACAAAGGATCCATCTATGTTTGGCAGGTTTACGTTGGTCGAGGATAGTGGAAAGATGTGAAGATATTGAGTGGGGTGTTGAGAGGGTAGAGCGGACAGAATACGAGACGGATGAGGAAAACCCATCGCAAATTATGGGAAGTAGAGTTTAAGGTTGATCTTCGAGTCGATTTTTATCGACAATTTTTCGTCACAAAATTGAAGTAAGTATTAGTCAACCTTTATTGTTATTGTGCCATTCTAATCAATCAACAAAGTCATGTGTAGATAGATAGCTTAAATGCTCCTATCCTTTTGGAAAGAACTTGCAAGCGAGCGAAATTGTATCACACATCATGGCGTAGAGGGAATACAATGTTATAGTTTTTGTTTGGAAAGGCGAGAAATTGATGAGATAGGAATATATTGGAGATGATATGATCAAGGAGTCTGGAGCGCTACGGAAGAATGAATTAATTTGGTATGCAGAATTTGCGAGCGAAGGTCATATTAACTGGAAGAGAGGCAAATTGAGCGTTGCAATCTCGACTCGGTTATAATTAAAGGTTTTGGAATGTTTGATAGAACGACGAGAGAGGGGTTAGACGAGGCGATATTTGGACACTCAAAACGAACCATACGAAGCGTAGAGAACATTTGGATATATTACTTATGTTGTATAGCGAGACTTGAGGGTATATACAGTTCAATACAATGAGTTTCTAAATCTACATCAAACATTCCCAAGAGCCCCTTCGCTAAAGATTCCGCATTGACCAACGAACAAATTATTACTCATGAAGGGCGTGTCAGTGTCAATTAATCATCATCCCTACCTCCACCACGCATATCGTCGGCCCTACAAACAATCCACAAATAAAGCTATCTATGGGCTAAATGGACAAATACTCCATTTTAGTCATGGCTGCCGTTATCGGACCCCTACACGCTTCACTATCAGTTAGCCATGCATATAAATATATATAAGATCAATCCTCAAGAATCAATGTAGGCTTCAATATCTCTCAAATTCATTTACTTATTGAGATCGTAGAAATTCAATTGGATCCCCGAGATGAAATCATATACTTCTCATCATCGTAATGAATCCGAATCAGCGATATCATCAAATTTGCCAGTAGAACTTCAATTGTTCGATAATCCGCACCAACGCCATTCAACTTCATATTCTATGACAAATTCCAATGTTGAAAACCTAGAATCAGCAAACGCAACGGATATAGATGCAGATGCTAGAAGAGTAGGAGTGGGAATTAGGAGTACAAGCGACACGGAAGCAGAACTTCAAGCTGAGGATCCGGAAAGAGTCTATCAACAACTCAAACCTGTAGATGGGGGACCAGCAGCTTGGAGATTACTGATCGCGGCATTTGTGTTCGAGGCAATTTTATGGGGTTTGTTTTTCTTTTCCTTGTCTCCTTTTATTCGAATGTTACACCAATTCTCGCTATGCTCTTCGCTCGTTCTACTATCACGCTTTCATGATGTCGTAACCGAGAAATAACTAATTTCTATTACCCAAGGATTTCCTATCTCCTTCGGAGTTTTCCAAGACTACTACTTCACACTCCCCCAATTCTCCACCTCCAAATCCCAAATCGCACTCATCGGAACCATTTCCCAAGGTCTCTGTTACCTCGGTGCCCCCCTCTCTGCCTCCCTCACCAAGCGATTTCCCAAACACCAAACCCATCAAATCTGGCTCGGCCTCCCAATCTGCATCTCCGGTCTCATAGCAGGTTCCTTCTGCGACTCCGTGCAGGGATTAATCTGGACTCAGGGCGTGATGTACGGTTGCGGATTCCTGATCCTCACATATCCTATCATAAGTATGATAAATGAATGGTGGATTGCGAGGAAGGGGATGGCGTTTGGATTGATCAGTGCGGCGAGTGGAGTCAGTGGTGCGGGAATGCCGTTTATTATTCAATTTCTGCTCGAGAAATATGGATACAAAACTGCGTTGAGGATTATCGTAGTTGGGATTACAATTTTGACGGTGCCTTTGCTGCCACTTTTGAAAGGGAGATTACCACCCAGTGAACGCAGTAGATTGGCACGCACGAATTGGGGGTTTTTGAAAAATAAACTTTTTTATATTTATGGATCTGCAACATTGATTTACGGAATGGGATTTTTCTACCCGGGGGTATATCTCCCTTCTTTCGCTACAAATATCGGATTGAGCGGTACTCAGGGAGCTGCGATATTGGCAGTCATGAGTGTAGCGCAGGTCGCAGGTCAATTCGCTTGTGGCTACTTATCTGACAAGAATTTCTCCGTTAATGCTCTGGCGGTGGGTTGTACGATCATGGCGACGGTTTCCTCATTACTACTCTGGAGTTTTGCGAAATCGACGGGTTTGCTCATTGCGTATGGAATCGTGTATGGATTTTTTGGATACGGGTTTAGTACGATGAGAGTGGCGATGGGGAAACTAATTTGTAGTGATCCGGGGAGTGTGGTGAGTATTTATTCGATTTTTGTTTGTTTACAGGGAGTGGGAAATGTATTGGTTGGTCCGATTAGTGGGGGCTTGTTGGGGGAGAGGGTGGTGCTTGGGGGGTATAGGGTTGAGAGGTATAGGGATATGGTTATTTATACAGGGTGTTGTATGGCGGGGTGTGCGGGGGTTATTAGTGGGTGGTGGTTGAGAAGATCGGGGAAGGCAGGAAGAGCTGTCATGTAGCTGAAATTCAAGACTTGGTATACACTATATATACAACGTATCATCGATCCGAAGCTTCATTAATCACTACCTGCTTCAAAGAGGAAGTCTGACATGACAGGCTCACCGTACAAGTTCCATATAAACTCCTACTATCCCCTTCCCTCATCACCACCTCTTCTTTAACTTCCAATCGTTAGATCTTTCACCTAATTGTCTTTCACCCCCTACCCCCCCCCCTCAAAAATAGAAAGTTCACATACAAAAAATAGTTCCCGATGAATGAAGATTAAATCCGGAGCGATGAACGCCCGGTGAGTAGCAAGGTTAGTGATGTTGCTCTCTGATGAACAACAAAATAGAAGATGCCACTACCGGTGAACAACAAAATAGAAGATGTCACTACTAATGAACAACAAAATAGAAGATGTCACTACCAATGAACAACAAAATAGAAGATGTCACTACCGGTGAACAACAAAATAGAAGATGTCACTACCGGTGAGTAATGAGACTAGTGATTTTACTCCCCGGTGATTAACAGGACTAGAAATCTTACTCCCGGTGAGGCATTTACATCTTAGCACTCAGAACTCTAAGTATAGAAGTATTAAGAGAAAAAGTGTAATTAGTTGAAAAAAATACGTGCGAAAGTCTAATTAATTGAAAAAATACATGTAAATTCATTTGTCGGAAATTATTTTTTCGGACAAAATCAATTGTGCGTAGAAAATCTAGAGAGGAGATGCCTATGGGTATACGGGAGGGGGCGATGGAAGTAGAGTCGAGGAAGAGAAGCCGAGGAGGAGAGGAGAAACATAAGGAAAGCCTATAGGAAGAGAGTAATATATGAAATACAGGGAGCTATTGAGCCTATAGGGATAGGGGTAGAGAAGATATATAGGGTATATAGAATATACCGAGTATATAATACAGGGCGTATAAGACCTATATAGTCTATAGGATTAGGGGTAGAGAAGATATACAGGGTATACAGGGTATACAAGACCTATATAGTCTATAGGGATGAGGGTATATAAGATATACAAGATAGATATTACAGAGTATATAACTCCTATAGACCGGGTCTATAGGGGTAGAAGAATATACAGGGTAGACAAGACAGGGTATATGACCCCTCTAGAAACCTATAGGGGTAGAAGGGAATACAGAACATACAGGGCATAGAACCCCTATAGATCCTATAGGGGTAGAAGGGAATACAGGATATACAGGGTAAACAATATAGAGCATACAAAACCTATAGGGCATATAGGAAACGAGAGAAGAAGATGAACTACGAAACGATAAAACGAATATACGAAACTACAAAACCACGAATATATTCGATAGAAGAAAGGAAACTATACGACGAATCGAAAGAAAACAAGCTCGATACAAGAGAAGAGAGTCATCGAGACATCCTACTATATTACTAAGTGTAGGGAGTAAGAGTCGAATATAGTATAGTATAAGAGAAGTTGAGATTACTAATTATGAAAGTAAAGGAGTAGGATTAGATATTTAAGGAATATCCTATATACCTATCGCTGTTAAGCGAATATCGCTAGAATATAGCATATCGACAGTCGAAGAGACTAGAAACGAGGAAAAACACCGACTAGAATATTACTCTCAAGGCTAGAGAACCGATACGAATACTAAAATTCGATCGAGTAACTCATATTATCATCGGCTTCAACCTTCGAGGTTGAGTAAGTCCGAATGTATATTTCGATAAGAATACAAATCTCTTATCTACGACAACTACTAGATACTAGAAACTAAGAATCGATAAATTAGTAAGATCATCGATCTCAAAAACGCTCTACAGCGTCTCTATTATTTTATATATTACTACGAGTATACATAATATACTCTACGAGGATAAATATTATAATATAGACGTGTCTACTACTTGAAAGAATACTCCCGACGAGACTATCTATATTATCGAAAAGATAATAAGATAAGATATCGAAAGATTATATTTCAAGATAAAGAGCGTAACGAAATAAATCGAATATTCGACTTAAAGCTAAGAAGATACGAAGACAACTTACGCTTAAATAATAAGCGAAAAGAGATAAAAGAATAAGAAATTCGAGTTCTTATAAATTACGACTATCGAATAGGAAATATCATAACGAAGATGTTTAGAAAGAAGCGAAATTTCGAATTATAAGAAAGGAAAATGTCGATATTTTCTAAAGAGAAGACTAGTCGACTATCTCGAAACCTTGAAAAGAACGAGAAGAACGTAATCAACGAAACGAAGAAAAGATTAATCGAAATCTCTCTAAGATAAGACAAATCGATAGGTCGAAAACAACAAGTACTAGAAGAAGATCTACAGAAATCTACAAGCTACAAGCTACAAGCTAGAAGCTACAACATAACTATCGAAAAACGCCTTCAAATCCTCGAATCACAGAAATCAAATCTCTCTTAAGTCAGCGAAGTATACCGAACAACGAAATACAG